TTTCATGAGAAACTACATTGAAGATATCAATATGTAATACAATAAGCATTGTTAATTCCCTACCACTCTGTTTGTAACTCTGTAATGTCTGTACTGATCCTATGCTAGATTGTAAAATGTTGTCGGTCTGTTAGTATTTTCCTCCTTTTATTTCTAAAATTAAAAAAAAAAAAAGGAAAGACATCCCTTGCTCTTGCATAGGAAGAAACAACATAGTGAAAATGGCCATACTCCCAAAATAGTTATGCAGATACATCAGTTTTGATTTTGCTTTAGTTTGCTTTTATGCTGTTTTTGGCCTTAATATTAACACATCAGTGAAATAAGTTTGGCATACAATTAAAATCTTAAAAACGTATTATTTTTTAAAACCTCCAAACTATGATATTTAATATTACCTTCCTACTCTTTGACTGTAATTCAGATCAATACTGGTATTTTCTGTTGTCTTCTTATCTGGGTTTCTTTCAGCACTAACTTCATTCTGCCAAAACTACTCATTTTCCAGAGCCCTTTGCTAACAACAACTTCACCACTCTCCTTTGCAGGCTTTTCTGTTGGCTCCACGGTGCAATCCCACACCAAGGGGATCTGGATGTGGTGTGTGCCTCATCCGGAGAAGCCGGACCACACCCTCGTTCTGCTTGACACCGAGGGTCTGGGAGACGTAGAGAAGGTAAAGGAGAAAGATTGCTATTTGACCAACCTCTTCATCTCTAAATGTTCTTTCTACATGGAGGTTTTGTTGTGGTTGCTCTGTTTTTGTTTTTTAAAAACATACTTCTCCTTGACTAGAGTATATCCTTTTTTTTTTTTCCCTTTCTATTTCTACTGATAAGAGTTGGGAGGATAAATATATTTATAAGTTAAAATCAGCATTAGAAGAATTTTACTGGATGTGCAAGAGAAGGATTCACATATGTGCAAGAATTGGCTCATACCAGTTCATATCAATCAATTGTATATATCTCTTCTCAAGTGTGAGTTCAGTGAGTTCACTTTGGTAACCTGAAATCAGTTATGATCAAATTATTCAGGAAATGGTTAAGTGGTACAAATCAAAACATTTTTCTGTCAGCCTTGTTGATAATAATTACTCAATAATATATATAAATATATATATACACACATATATATACATATATATACATATACATATATACATATATATACACACACACACATATATATATATATAAAATATAGGCCAAATTTTTTGACTCTGGTAAAATCTTGATTTTGAATAGTTAAATAGGAAGCTCTGAGGATATTGTCTGCTCTCACCCAGTCTGTCATGATGCACTATCATGGGCCTCTATGATTATTAATTTGAATATTCATTTTGAAAATATCTAACAGTAGTTATAAGAGGGATAATGAGTCAAAATGTATGACTAGATATCAAATCATCAGTGAGAAAGCCACACTAAATTTATGGGTTTGACAATGACTTTCGTTTGTCTTGTAAAATATTTGTATTCCTGGATCCTATTCTTAATGATTGCTCACCTGGGAATGCCATGAGAAATGGTATAAATTTGTTCTGCCTTCTAGGTTGATGGTAAGAATGATGCCCAGATCTTTGCGCTGGCAGTCCTGCTGAGCAGCACCTTTGTATACAACACTATGAACAAAATTGACCAGGATGCTATCGACCGACTGCAGTATCCTTTTGTGGTACAGGATGGCACCAAAGCCGGAGAGATCTGCACTCACCAGCTATATGGCTGTGAGACCTTGCAAATCACAAAAATCAAAATTTGAGGGGCTGGGGATTTAGCTCAGCGGCAAAAGCGCCTGCCTGGCAAGCGCAAGGTCGTGAGTTCGGTTCCCGGTACCGGAGAAAAACAACAACAAAAA